GTTCCACCCCAATTTTCAGATTACGCCCCGATCCACGGCGCGGTTATGATGATAAATGGCAGGACGCTGGGATCGAGGTGTGCGTGTAGGGTAGTGTTGGACAGCACCCCGAAGAGAGCACCCCGGGGTGCTTTTTTTTTCCCACCCCGGGGTGCTTTTATTTTCACCCCGGGGTGCTCTAACAAAGCACCCCGGGGTGCTTTCAAAACCACCCCGGGGTGCCCCCAAAAAGCACCCCGGGGTGGAAATAAAAGCACCCCGGCCGAGAGAGGGGTGCTCTGGAAAGCACCCCGCCCCCCCAGTGGGGTGCTCCAGAAAGCACCCCGGGGTGCTTTCGGAAGCACCCCAGGGGTGCCTTTTGGGGTGCTCTGTGGGGTGCTGTCTGGGGTGCTTTTTGCCAATGACCGCAATATAAGAACTAGGCTATTTTGATCAATCAGGAGATGAACAGCATTTTCGAGCAGTTCGCACAACTAGGCGCCAATTCGATTGCAACTCATTTGGGAGTCGTTTGGTAGCATTTCTTCGAGGTTGTTGAACACGGCGGACGATTTCGAGACGTTTTTTTCTAACCGCGCTAGCAGCCTGGGCAAAGCTGCTCGAGAGCTAAAACTCGTTGGGCAGATAGAACTTTTCGCGCTCTTTCGAATGGTGCCCTTCGCGATCCATGATTCGCAGTGCAAATCGAGATATGATGGTTTTAGTGCGGCGACAACTTCGACAGGTACACCTTTCGGCACTAAAACACTCCCCTCTCTGTCCCCCGACGATTTTGGAGAACGCCAAGTATACCGTTGGAAAGAGCGTTCAAAATGCAACCTTCTCAACGGCTTCAAGCAATTCTATCAAGCTTCTTTACGCTGCTAGCGCGGTTAGAAAAAAACGTCTCGAAATCGTCCGCCGTGTTCAACAACCTCGAAGAAATGCTACCAAACGACTCCCAAATGAGTTGCAATCGAATTGGCGCCTAGTTGTGCGAACTGCTCGAAAATGCTGTTCATCTCCTGATTGATCAAAATAGCCTAGTTCTTATATTGCGGTCATTGGCAAAAAGCACCCCAGACAGCACCCCACAGAGCACCCCAAAAGGCACCCCTGGGGTGCTTCCGAGCACCCCGGGGTGCTTTCTGGAGCACCCCACTGGGGGGCGGGGTGCTTTCCAGAGCACCCCTCTCTCGGCCGGGGTGCTTTTATTTCCACCCCGGGGTGCTTTTTGGGGCACCCCGGGGTGGTTTGAAAGCACCCCGGGGTGCTTTTAGAGCACCCCGGGGTGAAAATAAAAGCACCCCGGGGTGGGAAAAAAAGCACCCCGGGGTGCTCTCTTCGGGGTGCTGTCCAACACTAGTGTAGGGTTCGAATTACGGGGGGCCAAGTGGGTGGGCCCCTAGGTGGGCCACTTCGCTTTTTCCCGCCCAAACACTCAAAGCTCAAGGCAAAGCGAGTGGAGATGGAGGAACTGCTCTTTGCAATGCCATCTCGACAATGCTTTAGTATTATTTTGAGGTTTAATTCGCTGAAATGGTGGCAATAGGTCTCTGCTAGCCTGCCGTTTCTCCAAAGTGGTCTTGTTAGCCTGCTCTTGGCCGTATTTTCTTTAGATTTCGGTTTTTAGCTTCTTTTATAGGGCTTGAAATCCGCTTTCACTCAAAAATCTCGGCTAGCCTGCTCTCCTTATTGCAAAAATATCTGGCCATAGGCCGTTTCCTCCAAAATAATCCTTCTGAAATGGTCTCCGCTAGCTTGCTCCCACCCCTATTTGGCCCTGGAAATGGATTTATACGGATTTTTCGCCAGTAATCTCTGCTAGCCCGCCCTCTATAACAATTTCGACCCCTACGCCCTGGATTTTCGAAGCAAATAAATACTCAAGTGGCGCCCTCCAGAGGGGTCCGGGTCGAACAAAATGGCCGATGGCCCTTGTCGGTGAGGTCCGCTGGGACATGGCGCCCCCGATTTGTCAGTCTACTGCTCGAACACACAGCTCTACTCGCCGAACGCCCTGACTGCTTTTCACTTGACGGCTGGACTTTCTTTTCCTAAAAAATCTCTGCTAGCTTATCCTTTTGGTCTTCCTCAACAATCTCTGCTAGCCTGCCCTCTCCTCTTCCTCAACAATCTCTGCTAGCCTGCCCTCTCCTCTTCCTCAACAATCTCTGCTAGACTGCCCTCTCCTCTTCCTCAACAATCTCTGCTAGCCTGCCCTCTCCTCTTCCTCAACAATCTCTGCTAGCCTGCCCTCTCCTCTTCCTCAACAATCTCTGCTAGCCTGCCCTCTCCTCTTCCTCAACAATCTCTGCTAGCCTGCCCTCTCCTCTTCCTCAACAATCTCTGCTAGCCTGCCCTCGCCTCTTCCTCAACAATCTCTGCTAGCCTGCCCTCTCCTCTTCCTCAACAATCTCTGCTAGCCTGCCCTCTCCTCTTCCTCAACAATCTCTGCTAGCCTGCCCTCGCCTCTTCCTCAACAATCTCTGCTAGCCTGCCCTCTCCTCTTCCTCAACAATCTCTGCTAGCCTGCCCTCTCCTCTTCCTCAACAATCTCTGCTAGCCTGCCCTCTCCTCTTCCTCAACAATCTCTGCTAGCCTGCCCTCTCCTCTTCCTCAACAATCTCTGCTAGCCTGCCCTCTCCTCTTCCTCAACAATCTCTGCTAGCCTGCCCTCTCCTCTTCCTCAACAATCTCTGCTAGCCTGCCCTCGCCTCTTCCTCAACAATCTCTGCTAGCCTGCCCTCTCCTCTTCCTCAACAATCTCTGCTAGCCTGCCCTCTCCTCTTCCTCAACAATCTCTGCTAGCCTGCCCCTCTCCTCTTCCTCAACAATCTCTGCTAGCCTGCCCTCTCCTCTTCCTCAACAATCTCTGCTAGCCTGCCCTCTCCTCTTCCTCAACAATCTCTGCTAGCCTGCCCTCTCCTCTTCCTTAACAATCTCTGCTAGCCTGCCCTCTCCTCTTCCTCAACAATCTCTGCTAGCCTACCTTTACACCATCGTTGCTTTGATTAGACTGCGAAGCCATTTTGTTTTGATGATCTTTCTCTTTCTTCAAACCCCAACAAAAACTTGCAGTTAGCACTAAATTCTCCTCGTTTCTCCTGGCGTCGATTCATGAAGTTGCACGACAACAACTAATTCCGAATTCCACATCTCGTCAGGTGAGCCCCCGGGGGCCCTAGCCGGGGCTCATTCCAGATGTGCTCCCGCCCGGCGACACATCCCTTAATCCAAAAATCCAGACTTCACTCGTCGCCATCCATAAACCAGGAGAAACTAGAAAGCTAGCAGAGATCCTTTGCTAATTTTTCCTCTTACTTACGTAGCCTCGAAATCCCGGCCCCACCTTTTCTAGCCACAGCGGCGCCTCGTAATTTGAGCTTTCTTCGTCAATATTCGGCGCGGCGGACTTTTGCCACGCGAGGGAACACATTTAGGCCCCAAGGCTACATATTTTAGAGCTCGAGCTCGATCCGGAACAGGAAGAATTTCGTGAAAATGCTGTGAAGAATGTATTTTGTGAAATCGGGCAACTTTTATCCTAAAAATTCTAAGCCTAAGCCTTGCCTAAATTTTCGCCATAACCTAAGCTTCCTTTAAGGTGATCTCTGCCAGCTACCCCCTCCTACAATACCCCCTCAAGTGGTCATTTCTCAATCAGTTTCTTCTACTGGATCTCTCCGTTGTGCTACACACAACTGTCGTCGTGTGACCTTGTGGATGGGCAGTCTGGATGCCAGCTGTGGCCATTTCTTCAGCTCAACACCACTGGCGATCTCCCTTTTCTACCCCATGCCCTTTATATGTACTATTTCAGGCAATTTTTGTTGATCCAAATTGGTCCGATCAGGTTTTCTTCATTTCATTTTCTTCGGTTGGCTTGGCTTTTCATAATTATCTCTGTCAGCCGGCTTTCCATTCCTCAAAAATCTCTGCTTGGGACTGATTGAGCTTTTTGAGCTGAGAATTCTCACATGCTATTATTTCTTGGACTTTTTAAAAAATACCAAAAAGCGCTGTTAACTATTAAAACACGTGGATGTAAGCCTAAGTCTACACCCAAGCCTAGCCCAAGCCCAAGCCTAATCTGAAGCCTGTGCTTAAGCCTAAGCCTAAGCCTAAGCCCAATCCCAAGCCGTTGTCTAAGCCTAAGCCTCAGCCTGGGCTTAAGACAAAGCTTAATTTACGCTAAATTTGATTTATTGCATTTCCTCAAGCATCTCTGCTAGCCTGCCCCTGTTCCAAAAACAATAGAAATCGCCACAGCCATTTTTCCGCCGAAAAATAGGGCGTTCGCGGGCGGTGGGGGCCCTAATTTGCCCTTATCCAATGTGGGGAGAGAGAGAGAGAGAGAGAGAGAGAGAGATCGACAGGGCCCAGTGAAGAGGCCCATTGTGACCCGAAACAGGGCACTTATCCAACCCAACAAAAAAGGCTATTGGTCTGGGCGCTTTCACCCAATTATTCTCCCCTTAAGGGCACCAGTTTGCTTACTTTTGACAATTTCATTGCTCCTAAATGGTCTTTGCTTGTCTGTACTGCACCTCTTTCAATCTCCCCACTTCCCCCTCAGCCCTAATTGCTTATTTATGGGGAGCAGCAAATTCTGGAAGCTTTTACCCCAGGCACGTACAGCTAATTGCAAGTCTGGGATGGTGGAAGGATTTAGCTTCCCAAGGAATCTCTGCTAGCCTGCCCTCTTTTCTTCCTCATCAACCTCGGCTTGCCCGCCTAGTCCCTTTAAAATGCCCTTTGCCTTTCTCAATCCCCTCGGGTGGGTCATTCAAATGTGTTCCCTCCGAAACGACGCTCAGGGCTCTTCCTCACGGCGCCAAAATGGGTTTCTCCCGATCCCATGATTCCCGAAATCGAGACGAAACATTTTTTCTTTGCTTATATTTCGTTTTAAAGAGCATTTTCGTCTCTTAAACGATTTCGAAACGCTCCTTTTTGTGTGATTTTCAAATTTTTGCTCGGCTAAAATTTCTAAAATGAAAATTTTTGCTTTTTTCAGGATGAACTGGCCGTTCCTCCTCAACTCGATCGCATTAGCATCCGCGGCCACCCTGTTGGGGGCCAACAAGAAGATTGGGGATGAAGCGAACGATGAGATGTTTCAGAATTTTGCCCACCAAGCCATAAGGGAATATAATCAGCAGTCGAACGATTTGTTTAAGGCATGATTTTAATTTTTATCCTTGAATTTGCGTTGAATCGAAAATTAAGGGATTGGCAGGATAGTAGAGATCCTGTAGAAAGAGAAAGGATAGCTAGGGCGTCTAGGGCAGACTAGCAGGGATTCTTTGATCCCAAATATGCCTATTTTTTCAGTGGGACTTTGTCCGAATCGACGACTCTCATAAGCAGCTCGTCAACGGCGAGCGCTACACCCTGAACTTGGTGCTCGGGCAGAGCGATTGCCGGAAAACGGTAGTGTTTTACTCGTTTCTTCGCCTTTTAGGGATTGCTAAATGATCGAAATTTCGAATCCTTCAGTCCACAAAAATATCAATTTTCTTATTTTTAGGGTAACGACATCCAGCGAACCGATTGCCGGCTGACAGCACGTGAAAAAGTGAGTGGAAATTTTTTAATTAATTAACTATTTTTATAATGATACTTAGCGCCAGTTTAACTTATTAATTGTGTTTTTGGTTGTTTTTTTTCGCAAAAATTCCTTTTTCAGAAATGTGTGGCCAAGGTCACCCGCCGCGTCTGGGAGAACTACGAGCATATTGAGGCCAGTAAAACAATAGAAGTTGAATGCCAATTTTTAGCCTCTCATCTGCGAGGAGCCAATTTTGCATAAAGCCGACGAGTTGAAGACGCACAACACGAAGAAAAACTTCTTCAAAGCGTAGGGGATTTTGTGGAAGATTAAGGGGCAGGCTAGCAGAGATTGTTGAGGAAGAGGAGAGGGCAGGCTAGCAGAGATTGTTGAGGAAGAGGAGAGGGCAGGCTAGCAGAGATTGTTGAGGAAGAGGAGAGGGCAGGCTAGCAGAGATTGTTGAGGAAGAGGAGAGGGCAGGCTAGCAGAGATTGTTGAGGAAGAGGAGAGGGCAGGCTAGCAGAGATTGTTGAGGAAGAGGAGAGGGCAGGCTAGCAGAGATTGTTGAGGAAGAGGAGAGGGCAGGCTAGCAGAGATTGTTGAGGAAGAGGAGAGGGCAGGCTAGCAGAGATTGTTGAGGAAGAGGAGAGGGCAGGCTAGCAGAGGCCATTGAGACGAAAAAAATTGATGAATTTCAGGGCACATCTCCAAAATGAGCGTGCGTTCATGACGACCGATGGTGGCAGAGTGGCTGTCACAGCCCATATCAAGCGCAGTGACTTTGCCGCTTGGAATATGTTTGCCGACTACTCAGAGAAGTGAGTTCGGCTTTGCTTAGGCTTAGGCTTAGACTTGGGCTTGCGTAATCATTGCATTCCAGCTACGACCGCTCCTATAAAGACAAGCACACCGTGCTCCAGCGTTTCCGTAACTTCAAGCGGAACCTTGCATATGCGAAGAATTTGCAGAAACGGGAGCATGGTAGGTTTTTCGGATCCCAAAAATTAGATATTTTGAAGGAACCGCCGTCTACGGTGTAACGAAATATTCGGATATGACGAGGAAGGAGTTTGCGAAGGTAAATTTCCTTAACTCTCTCTGCCAGTCTGCAGACTGCATCCTGGTTTCCAGCATTTTTAAACCCTTCCTTTTAGGTCTACCTTCCAAAAATCTGGGGCGAGCCGGCGAAGCCGAATAAGAAGGTCGACATCGAGGATTACGGTGTCACGCTCGAAGACCTCCCGGAATCGATTGATTGGCGCGACAAGGGAGCCGTCACTGGGGTCAAGAATCAGGCTTCGTGCGGTTGGTTTAAGCTATTTCTTGCTAGCTCTCACTCTCACTCACTCTCTCTCTCTCTCTCTCTCTCTCTCTCTCTCGTTCGTTAAATTTTATTTTCAGGTTCCTGCTGGGCCTTCTCTACCACCGGCAACGTCGAGGGACAGTGGTACCTAGCCAAGGGAAAGCTGGTGTCATTAAGGTGTGCTTTTCTGTTTCTCTGGTTCTTGCTCTCTCTCTCTCTCTCTCTCTCTCTCTCTCTCTCTCTCTCCCTGCTCTCACTCTCTCGGTTTCAGTGTCTCTCTCGTTATCCCTCCTATTTCAGCGAGCAAGAGCTAGTCGACTGCGATGGACTCGATCAGGGCTGTAATGGAGGCCTCCCCAGCAATGCTTACAAGTTTGTATCGTTATTCTACAAATTTAGCCCTGTTTTTTTAGAGAAATCATGCGCATGGGCGGCCTGGAATCCGAGGACGACTATCCGTATAGTGGACGGCAAGAGGGCACCTGTAAAATCATCAAAAAGGTGGGAAATTCACGATTATCTTTGCTAGCCTGCCCTCTCCTCTTCCCAACAATCTTTGCTACCTGCCCCTCTCCTCTTCCTCAACAATCCCTGCTAGCCTGCCCTCTCCTCTTCCTCAACAATCTCTGCTAGCCTGCCCTCTCCTCTTCCTCAACAATCTCTGCTAGCCTGCCCTCTCCTCTTCCTTAACAATTCTGCTAGCCTGCCCTCTCCTCTTCCTCAACAATCCGCTAGCGCCCTCTCCCTTCCTCAACAATCTCTGTAGCCTGCCCTCTCCTCTTCCTAACAATCTCAGCCTGCCCCTCCTCTTCCTCAAAATCTCTGCTAGCCTGCCCTCTCCTCTTCCTCAACAATCTCTGCTAGCCTGCCCTCTCCTCTTCCTTAACAATCTCTGCTAGCCTGCCCTCTACTCTTCCTCAACAATCTCTGCTAGCCTGCCCTCTCCTCTTCCTAAAATTTGTATGCCCTCTCCACTTCCTCAACAATCTCTGCTAGCCTGCCTAGGTTTTCATTAGCTTCTTCCTGTCGCTATCACTTCAATAACTCGAATTTTTCAGGACCTGCGCGTCTACATCAACGATTCGGTTGAGATTCCTCACGATGAGGTGCAAATGCAAGCTTGGCTGGCCCAGCGAGGACCTATTAGCATTGGTAAGCGGTTTTTTGGATTACGGTAGCTGACTGGGATCTTTGATGCTCGCCTGCCAAACCTAAATTAGAATAGAGTTTATTTCTATGCGTCCACTAGTCAACAAAGCGCAAAGAAAACACAGCGATTCAAAAAGAAGGGCAACGGGCAGAGATCTTTTTGGATCGATCGGTGGTATATACAGTATCGGGCTGATATGTACAATAAATATCGCAAAAATGAAAGTGTAAAGGGGAGTGAAGTGGACTTTCTTGGGCGGGGAAGAAAGCGAGAAAAATTGGTATAGATTGGATAGGCAGCCTGCAGGCGAAGCCAAGCCAAGCCAAGCGCCGAAGCCAAGCCAAGGGCCAGCCTAAGCCTAAGCCAAGCCGAAGCCAAAGCTTGAGCCTAAGCCTAAGCCTAAGCCAAGCCGAAGCCCAAGCGTAAGCATAAGCCTAATCCCAATCCAAGTCGATGTACGAGAGCGCGGCCTGTTTCTCAAGCAGTGCTCGTGCCTTGGGCGAACCTCTCGTGAAGAGCAAGCCGAGCCGCCGTCTTGAGCAGATCCTCTTCTCCACTACCTAGAAATTCGTATAATTACGTTTTATTTTAGCTAATTTTAACTATCAAAAGTTTTTGCTTTGGAAAAGCTTAAACTCACTTTCCGCATAGCCGCCACACGCAGAACCCCGTCGGGAAGTCGGCCGGCTGAAGCCGCCGACAAGCGATGGGCGCTTCTGAAAATGATGGATAGCTCTCTCTCTCTCTCTCTCTCTCTCTCTCTCTCTCCTCCCTCCCTCCCCCCTCTCTATCTTTCTAGCGCTCTCTGGCTCTTCCCCCGGGATTCTCTGCCAGATGGCCTAACAATCGTATGCCTTAAGACCAGTTTTCACCCTCACAAAAAGCGTTGCTTGCCAGTCATATTCCGATATTCCCCAAGAATCTCTGCTAGCCCCGCTTTCGACTTTTCCTCCAATTATTTTTATAAAGACCTTGGTAGCGTACTCGTGGCTGCCCGTGCCCGGCTCGTCGACCGGTTTGAGGAGGAAGTCGGCCACCTCGCGTTGGGCGGTCTGAATGTTTTTTTTTTGTAGATTTTAGCCTATAGTGGCCCTTTATGTTTAAATCGCAAGATCTAACTTCCTCGGTCCTTTAAAAGCACCGAAAGACTAGAAATCCAACCTCAATAATCCACTTCATGAAGGTGACGGCGCCAACGACAAGGGCGTAGACGAGGGAAGCTAAAAAATGAGCTTTAGTAAGCCAAATCTAAGCCTAAACCGAAGCCCAAGCCTAAGCCTAAACCTAAGCCTAAGCCTAAGCCTAAGCTTAAGCCTAAGCTCACGCAAAAAACTCACGCTCTTTCCGCTTGGCCTTCATCATGGCGCGGCGGCCGGAGGGGAGGTTGTACTGTAGGCAGAGGGGCTTCTTGTTTTGGAACCTGAAAAATGGGAATAAGGCAAGCTAGCAGAGATTCTTTAGGAAAATTTAGCCGTTAAAGGGATACTAGCAGAGATTCTTTGGGGTCTAGCGCCGCCCGGAACCGAAGTGGGCAAACTAGCGGGGTTCATTTAAGATTTTTTCCAGTCTTAGGCAAGCTAGCGGAGGTTTTTCAAAATTTTCAGAAGCTCGAGGGCAAGCTTGCAGTCTTTCCTTAAATTTTCAAAAACCCAGGCAAGCTAGCAGAAATCATTGACCAAATTCCTTACCGTAATCTGGCCCTCGGCTCCCCTGAGTTTCCGGTAGAAGCGCAGGCCGCGGCCGTCGGCTTCATCTTCTTATTCGTCATGTCGCTGAAGCGATGGCGCCACTGGGGCATTTTTAAGGTTTTATGGGATGAAGGAAGAGCTGGGAATACGGTAGTTTAAGTGCGAAATAGCAAGCCAAACGATAGGAATACGGTAGCTTATCCTCAAGTTGGTACGGTAATCCGGGAGTACGGTAGCCTAGTCGATAAGTGTGTTTAGGCTTAGACTCAGGATTAGGATTCAACGCGTGGAACCGTTTAGCCGAATGAAAGCTGACAATCTGAGGGACACGAGTTATTTTGATCGCGCAGGAACCTGGAGGGGGGACCTAGTTGATATCAAAGTTCTGGGGGGGGGGTGGGCCAACCAGGGACGACAAGGATTTTCGAGTGTTTCCCCGGGGGAGGCAACACACATCCACAGCCAGCCAGATCATCAGATCTGGAAATCCAGATCTGATCGATCCCGGGTAAACAGCGGGGGTGGACACCCGAAAAAACACACGCGCCGCGCCGGGCACCCCAGAAATATCAGGGAATGATGACACGCGGAAACGCGTGTCATCTGATTCAGCGGGGGTGGGGGAATTAGGTGGCAGGCTAGCAGAGATTGTTGAGGAAGGGGAGCGGGCAGCTAGGCAGTATCTAGCTTAGGTTCCAGATTTAGTAATTTGGCCGCCAGCCAACAGCTAACCTCACCGGTTCCTCAATGTTCTCTGCTAGCTAGCCCTCTTAGGTGTATTAGATGACCTCCGTGGCGTCACTCAACACTACCACTTTCCGAAATCGTCTATGCTGGCACGTCCAGGCTTCCAGGCCTCCTAAATACTCTCCAATGGCCATCCAATCAAGCCCGCCCCGTAACAACTAATACAGATTTTTTAGGAAATCTTTCCGTATTTTCGAAACTTTTAACACCACTTATCACATTCTTAACATCAGTCTTACAGACGGAAATCGTCTTCAAAGTTCACGAAACCCGGCAGGAGAGAGAGAGAGAGAGAGAGAGAGAGAGAGAGAGAGCGATAAAGAGGAGAGAGCGAGAGGAAGAGCTCGGCTCGGCTCAGATATCTGTTTAACAAGACCAGATCTGATTCTTAGGGACATCCCTCACGTGATATCCTATGATCAAGGTTCTTCACAAAGTACACGATTCTTTTTGGCAGTCAACTTACGGCAAAAACTATAGCAAGGCAAGCTAGCAGAAATTCTTTGAGAATTCTTACCGGAATGCAAACTAGCAGAAATTTTTTAGGAAATCTTGGCGAAGCGCCTTCATTTTTTCCTTGGAGGAAGGCAAGCTAGCGGAAATTTCGCAGGAATTGGTGCAGCTAGCAAAGGCTCTTTGAGCTCCCATGCAAGAGCATCACAAAAATTCCTTGAACTCCGGGGCGTATTTGCGGAGTAAAGTGTACGCTTTGGCGGCTAGCCGCTAGCTGTCAAAATGGCCCGGGAAGGGCCCAGAAAAAGGGCTCACAAAGGGCCCATTTCACGCGCTACGGCCAGCCGCTCCGTGTGTGCATGCGTGGAAATGGGGAGTTGTGGATTGTAGTCTGAAAATCTTCAAGCAAACAATTGAAAAAATTAAAAAAAACTAATCAAGTTGAATTTACAGGCCTGAACGCCAACACGCTTCAATTCTACCGCCATGGAATTACGCATCCCTGGAAGGTAATTCTGATTCCTTGTTTTTTCTGCTAGCCTGCCCTCTCCTCTTCCTGAACAATCTCTGCTAGCCTGCCCTCTCCTCTTCCTCAACAATCTCTGCTAGCCTGCCCTCTCCTCTTCCTGAATAATCTCTGCTAGCCTGCCCTCTCCTCTTCCTCAACAATCTCTGCTAGCCTGCCCTCTCCTCTTCCTCAACAATCTCTGCTAGCCTGCCCTCTCCTCTTCCTCAACAATCTCTGCTAGCCTGCCCTCTCCTCTTCCTCAACAATCTCTGCTAGCCTGCCCTCTCCTCTTCCTCAACAATCTCTGCTAGCCTGCCCTGTCTAGCTATTCTTTTCAGATGTTCTGCGAGCCGTTCATGCTCAATCATGGTATTTTAATCGTCGGCTACGGAGAGGAAAAGGGAAAGGTACGATAATTTAATACTTTTTATGACTAAATAAATTCCCTAGTTCTTAAATATTCACATTTATGCAAATTTTGTTAGTTTAGATCAAGGCAATACCTCCATTTTCATAAAAAACTTTTTTCAGCCCTACTGGACGATCAAAAACTCGTGGGGAACCAACTGGGGCGAGCAGGGCTACTTCAGGTTTGTATTTTTTGTAGTTTTTAGTCTTTCTAGTTTATTTAGCCATTAATTTGCATATTTTTACAGACTGTATCGTGGAAAGAACGTCTGCGGCGTCCAGGAGCTCCCCACGTCCGCAATCGTGAAATAAATGTAAATAGTTGTACGTCTGTGTGCTCAATTTGGTTGGAAATAAATATGTTTCGAATTTTCTCTACATTTCTTGGTATTTTTAGCTGTGATAAATAGCCTATTTGAAAGAGCAAAATTTTTTTAATAAAACGTAAGTTTAAAAATGATGAATCGGTTGGTAGTTAAGAAATTTCAATGAAAATGGTAGAAAATACCTTAAAAATTTTGATTTTTGTAAACTATTGAGAATTTTTTGCGGCATTGAACCCGTTGGGATTTGATTACGCCAGCTAATTCTATACACGCTATAAACAATTTTTAAAAGATTAAAAAACTTTATACATTCCTGAAAATGCGGCAATTTTTTATCTTGAGTCTTCAAAGTCTGCTTGAAGCTCTTTTTAATGCTGGCCCTGACCTCCTTGGACTTGTGGCATCTAAAATTTGAATGTCCGAGAGTTTCTGGGGTTATCGACCTGTTGCTGTTGTTGCTGCTGCGGGGCGTCGTTCCAGTTCACCTCGCGTTTGCCTGAAAAGAGCAGGCTAGGAGAGATTGTTGAGGAAGAGGAGAGGGCAGGCTAGCAGAGATTGTTGAGGAAGAGGAGAGGGCAGGCTAGCAGAGATTGTTGAGGAGGAGGAGAGGGCAGGCTAGCAGAGGTTCTTTGCTTTTCTATGCCTTACCATATCCGTAGTATCCATAGGTGTAGGGGTAGTAGTACGAATTGTAGTAGTAGGGGTAGTACGACCCGTAGTTGTAGCCGCTGCTGTAGTATGGGTACTAAATGAAGGTTTTGACTGGAAACCAAGCTAAGCCTAGGGCTACGCCCAAGCCTATGCTTAAGTATGCGCCTAAGCCGAAGCCTAAGCCTCCGCCTAACCAAGCCTAATCCGTACATAGTAGCTGCTGTAGTACTGGGCGTCGACCTGGTCGATCAGTGCGATGCCGGTGAGGAGGAGGATGGCGAGGAGGATGCTACAAAATAGATTTTCCTCAGGAAACTCTGCTAGCCGGCCCATACTTTTCATGAGACCGGAGGTAAATTGTTTGTAAACGCCTGAAAACACATAAAATTACTCACAATTTTGACGACTGCATATTTTGGTTGAAGTTGAAGCGGTAGCGGTTCTACAAAATGTAATTTAAATTTTTTAGAGCTAGTTTGGATAGTTTAAAGCCTGAAAAAATGAATAAACGTGCAATTATTTAACAGTAACTGGCTAAAACCTTTTTCAAAGCTTTTAAATACCAGGCTGACCACACCCTAATCGCCTGTTAAACGCCAGCTAGGTTGTTGGCACTTTCGGGTGGTGTGTAAATAGAAAAACGCGTAGCCGATGGTCAGCGTCAGATTCCGGAGGCACTGGGCGGGGCTTTAAAGGGAGTGGGACAGACAGATTCGATTTTCTTATCCTCCAAGTGGCAGCTTTTTGCCCGGTCTCCATTTTTCCTGACTTTTCAATCCCTTTAACACCCCCTAATTCCCGGTCTAAACTAGTGCAAACAACCTGAAGCTGTTCACAACTTTTGCCCAAGAAGACGTAAGCAAAAAGCAAATAGACAAATAGACAACAAATTCCCCCTGCTAGCGGCTGCCGGTCAAACCTATAGTTAAGCTGTGAACATAGTAGTAGTTGCGGAAAGTGGACAGAAAATAAGGCTAACTAGCAGAGAGCATTTGAGGACCGGGCTGGCAAGCTAACGAAGATTGTTGAGGAAGAGGAAGCGAGAGAGAGAGAGAGAGAGAGAGAGAGAGAGAGAGGGAGCTAGCTAAGATCATTTGAAGGCAAGGGCAGGTTAGCAGAGATTGTTGAGGATGATGAGAGAGAGGAGACCGCGAGAGAGAGCGCGAGCGAGCGAGAGAGAGAGAACGAGAGAGAGAGAGAGAGAGAGAGAGAGAGCTAGAGAGGAGGGCTAGCATACATCCTTAGAGGGGAAAGGCAGGCTAGTAGAGACTGTTGAGGAAAAGCAGAGTCAGATTAGCACATGTCATATGACGAAAAAGGGCAAAGCAGAGATTGTTTTGGAACGTGAAAATTCCGGAAATGCGCATAAACCATGTCCCTATATTTATCGCTTAGTTTACAGGTTCCGGGCACAAAGCACAGCGCACAGACGCGTATTATGATAATCAGGCACAACAAATACCACCGTCATCAAAAAGGTTTGTTTTAATGTTTGAAAAATCGGGGCAGGCTAGCAGAGGTCTTTTCGGATCCCATCGGTTTCGAAGTTGTTCGAAGCTAGCAGTGATTCTTTAGGAGTTTCCAGCGAGTCGGGCCTAGCTAGCAGCGGTTCCTTAAGAAACTTGGCAAACGAGGCAGGCTAGAAGTGATTCTGAAGGTTTTGAAAAAGTAAGATGAGGGAAAGGGGAGAGGTTTTTTTTTAGGAATCGGGAATCCGATGCAAGCCAGCAGATATTATTTAGAATCCGAATACCCAGGGGTTCAGGGCAAGCTAGCAGAGAATATTTGCGAATTTAAGGCCGATTTTAGTACAAAACTAGAGATCAAAAACGACAACTGACATCATCTAGGTTTGACTCGTAAAAATTCTCACTTTATATGCATCCGCTGGGTGCGCAAAATAGGAAATTATCGCGGTGGTGATGGCGTGGCCAGAATTCGGCGTCAAACTCATTCAAAAAACGCAGCGAGAGAGAGAGAGAGAGGGGGGAGGGGAGAGAGAGAGAGAGAGTGAGAGAGAGAGAGCGAGAGAGAAACAAAAGATCCAAAATTAAAAATAACCCCCTGACTGTCCGGTGGAGTGCGTGCACTGTCCAGAATGTGGGCCCCATAAAAAGGGCTGCGCTGTGATTATTACCATGTTTGTTATTTGGTGTCCCGTGGAATACCGTAAGTTTTGACGGTTTTCGGATTTGGTGAGTCAGTTATGACGAAATTGTGGCGGGCCCAAAAAATGTGAAAGTGTAACATCGTAAAAATCGGGCTAAAATTTGTGGAAAATCGAGTTTTCTAAAACGTCTGCTGATTCTAAAAATTTTTCGATGCATTTTCGATACAGTTTTTCATCCGCTTTTAAGTGACATGAATTGAACTTACTAACTTTACAGATTTTTGTTTTCGATATTTTTCTTTGAGATGGTAGATGCAGTACCCACTCTTTCTAAAAATTTCTGTATTCAACGTCCCTTTAAACTAACACAGAATCGAGTTCGGCCGCTCTTTTTCAGGCTCATCGTAGGGTCAGCCAGGCTCTTTCCAGAAGGTTTTCGAAGCGGATACTGGTATCCCCCAGGGGTCCGTCATTCGCTCCTCCCCACCAATTGAACCGGTTTACAATGCCCCCAGGGTAGAGAGAGAGAGAGAGAGAGAGAGCCGCCTCGCCGCCTGGGAGAGGTGTGGATGGGGAGGGATCTGTGGCAATGCGTGTGACAGTACGGATCCGCACCACTTTTTGATAGCCTTTCCCTGCCAGATACTGGCGGCTGGCAATGGTCGTTGGTTCCTAAATAATCTCTGCTAGCCTGCCCTCTCCCCTTCCTCAACAATCTCTGCTGGTCTGCCCGGGAGAACATTTCCCGAATAATCTCTGCTGGTTTACCAGATTTTGTTTCATTTCCTCAAGAATGTTTGCTAGCTACCCATCCTTCGCCAGCTAGCTGTCACACGCCCTTTAAAACCCTCGGTTTGCCAGAAATTTCTTCCAGCGGTTAGCGACGAGGTATCAATCGCCTGCCTAGAGAGAGAGTGAGTGAGAGAGACAGAGAGAGAGAGAGAGAGTTTTAGATAGCGAGAGACAGCTTTCCAGATCCCCTCTGATTTCAGATGCCAACGGCATAGCCCCGAAAATGATCCGACTCCCCCGGGGCAAGCCGATCCGTTTCGAGAAGCCGGTTCCCCGGTTGGCAGCCGGCGGTATCCCTTTAACACTGCCACCCACAGCCTCAGCTTCCCCTCACCCTGAAAATTCCCGGTAGCGACGAGCTTCTCCCAGGCGATACCCCGCCAATCATCCCCCGGGCGCCACACGTTTTTGCTCTCGGGCGCTCGCCCGGGCGGCTATTCTCGCCGGGAATATTTCATGCTCGGATGGGTTCTAAAGGGGTGGGAAGGCTAGGCAAAGCCAAAAACTAAGTCTAAGCAAAAGCTAAGCAAAGGCTAAGCATAAGGCTAAGCCGATGCCCAAGCCTAAGCCTAAGCCTAAGCCTAAGTCTAAGCCTTCCTAAGCCTAATCCTAAGCCCAGCCGAGCCAAGCCAAAGTCGCGCTTTTCCAGACGATCAATCTTCTGTCATTGTTCTCTGATGTCACTCTCCGCTTCCAAACTATCTGGAACTCAGAGTCTGACCTTGGCTACACTCAGTGACGCTAGTTGTGGTGACTAATCACCCGTATTTCCCTGGGGCACATTTTACGACGAGTGAAAGCCGGTTCGCATGGTCGTGGATGGCTGTCAGCATGCTGCCGCGTCGAACCGTCTGGTTGCCACAATTTTTGAAGACCTTTTCTTTGTTTTTGTAAGGGGCAGGCTAGCAGAGATTGTTGAGGAATCGAGAAATTAATGATTTCTTGCTCTTTTGTGGGGTTTCTTCGACCAGGGTAGGTTAGCAGAGAATATTGTGGAATGATCTGTACTTTCCCATCTCTCTAACTCTCTCTCTCTCTCTCTCTCTCTCTCTCTCTCTCTCTCTCTCTCTCTCGGTTCTAAACACCTGGTGGCATCATTAATGCATCCATATACATTCAATTCAAATTTGGGAACAGAGAAAATTGAGGAAATCTCACTTTCTCCCCTGACATCAATGTAATTCATTCTCCCTGTAATTCATGCCTCTTGGCGCAGAGCAGAGATTTCTGGGGAAATTCCTAAGCAATTTGCCGGCCAGCGATAGTTTACGACCCGCGAACCGGATTCTCGAAGAAGCCAGTGAGGGGTGAAAGGTCATAGCCGGCGGGCAGCATGGCTGCTGGTTTTCCTCTGTCTCTCTCTCTCTCTCTCTCTCTCTCTCTCTCTATCTATCGCCAAGCCCTTGAAGCGCTTATCCCATTCATCTCGG